TTTGGCTTCGACTTTGTTGGTTCATTGCATTAATTTCATCCTCTGGTGATTTCTCAACGATGCGTGTCATGCATCTTAATTGCTCTGTTGTTGTCTTGCTGCTTCGGCAAATGTCTAGCGCTTTAGCTAAAGTCAAACTTCGTTCTTGCAACAATTTCTTTCGTACCAAAGCATCCTTTATTCCCAACACAACTCGATCTCATAGCAATGTTTCCTGAAGACATTTACAGAAATTACAGCTTTGTGCTAAAATTCGTAAAGCTGTCACGTATTGTTTGATTGTTTCACCATCTCTCTGGTCACGACTGTTAAACTTAAACCATTCGTAAGTTTCATTTGTCTCACCGATAAGGGTCTCTTCGAATTTCTTAATAATTGTATCTAAATCGTCTTTATCTTCTTCGGCCGCGAAGTGCATTCCATCGAACATTTCCATCGCTTCTTCGCCAATTACTGACAAAAATAATGCGGTCTTGAATCGCCCGTCGCATTGATCTAATCTAGAAATTATAGCATAATTCTCCCATCCTCGTCGAAATTTCTTCCAATTGGTCGCCATATTACCGTCTGTCCTTAAGGGTTTCGGAGCTGAGATTCCTGTCGGAATCATCGGCACTGCCATAGTTGCTTTAGGATGCGGAATTTTCGCCTTGCCTTTTACCGGCGGCTTCGAGCTAGTTTCGGTGTCGGACATAGTTTACTTCGTCTCAGTGTCGTACGGCAAAAAGGATCACTGTTCAGTATCCCACACCTGACACCATGTTTCGGTTTGGTTCAACTTATATTTCAAAAATTATAGAAAGCTTTCCTAAGTGTATTTCACAACGTTTAAGTTAAGAGAGCTAAAACCCCTACAGTAACCTTATATATACATACGTAAACAGGAAGTCCAAATACTCATGCATAATTATCACCTACTTATACTAATGTCGCAACATAGTACATTGGTAAGTATTTATTCTCTAATCTCAATAAAAGTTGTCTGGTTTAAATTTAAATGTAGTGTCTGGCAATCTGGAACTTTACCTGTCAATCTGGCACTACATAGAGTAGATTATCATAATAAAGTGGGATGCATTAATTGCCACTGATAACCCATTCAGTGGCAATACTTACCTTTGACCATCTGGCGTCAAACAGAATAGAATAATTAGGCAAGGCACATCAGGATGCATACATCTTGGCAAAACCAAAAAAATGCCCAAACTTACAGCACTTCCAGTTTTAAAAACTTTATATTTTGCAATATTTTTGTGTAAAATTGATCAAAGCATGAATCATTGCCACACTGTAAGCTTCTTGAAGTTGAACAACAACTTGAAGTTCCTCTGTATCAAAGAAATTTCAAAACATGTCTTTTTTAAAACCGGAAGTGCAGTGATATCTGACATTTTTTTGGTATTCCGGATGGGTGTATTTCCACTTACAAGGGTTAATACTGCAAGTCATACTATTTTGACATTGTTTGCATTAAAATATTATAGGGGAAAGTCCACAAGTGAAAAGGAATTGCCATTTTGGATATGGTATTCAAAATTAATTAAGTTAAAGTCATTGCTTCCATCAACAAAGTATGCTATATTTACTGCAACTGCAACCAAGGTAACAAAAATGACTTTATTCGACATGCTGGGTTTGACACTGCAAGATACATTTTGTGTAGAGAAATCACCTGCAAGAAGCAATATTTGCTACTGCTTTTGTTATATAGACAAAAGTCTAGAACTTTGAAACTGTTTTCAAGGACTTGATTGATGAGATTAAAGAGCTCAAGCATGAAACTAAATGAACAATTATTTTTTGTCAGACAAGGAAACAGCGTTCAGTCCTCTATCGAATGTTTTGCCTTGCTATAAATTATAATTTGTATGCATATGGAAAACAAGATCCCACAATGCGAATAGTTGACATGTTTCACGCTGGAAGCCCAAATTCAGTAAAGGAACATATTATTCATGAAATGGCTCGTTTGGGTAGTTATCTAAGGATTATTATATGCACGATAGCTTTGGTATGGGGATCGATTGTAAAGATACTTATCGCAGTATTCATTTTGGCCCTCCTAAGACAGTCGAATTGCTGGTACAAGAATCTGGTCGTATTGGTAGGGATGGAAAGCAGTGCATTTCTTATATTTTACACGATGGGCTGCTAAGTAGTCACTGCAATGGCCAAATGAAGCAACTTATGCAGACACAATCATGTCGGCGAGGGTATATTGTAAGTTTGTTTTCTTTTAATAATGATAAAACACGTGAAAAAAAATGTCTGTGTTGCGATAACTGTGCTTTGCTTTGTCAATGCAACAACTCAATTCAAACAATGGAATTTGGAAAGAATGCAAATGTAAGTTCCCATAGCAGTATTCCAGCTAAAGGCTGGCGCACACTAGAGCTATGTGCTTAGCAAAAAGTCATTCGTGGCCATCGGTGTAAGCCAGTTGCTCTCGTGTGCGGGCGACTTTTCCGGCGACTTTTGGCACGAATGACGAAAGTCACTGGAAAAGTTGCCCGCACACAAGAGCAACTGGCTTACGCTAATGGCCACAAATGACTTTTTGCTAAGCACATAGCTCTAGTGTGCACCGGCCTTAAGACAAGACCAGTGTCTGATGCCCAGCAACAGGAACTGCATCAGAAACTTCTGACCTACAGAAAAACACTACTTCCAAAAAGTGTTACAGAATTCATGCCAGTTGGTGCTCCTAATGTGTTTTTTGAATTTAGTCAGCTTCAAATTAGTCAGGTTTTGAATAACTGTGAACACCTGTTTACCCTGGCTGATATATTGGAACATGTTGAGATTTGGCAACATGTCTATGCTATGTCTATGACTGCTGGTGTGCAAAATGCTTTTCTGAGACTATCGGAAAGTAATACAATGGATCCCCGATACTTAGGAGCCAGTGTGATCCAGCTTATGCATGTACATTCAAGTTCATTTGACATTATGTAGACCCTAAAATTCGCTCAACTTCATGGATTACCCTGCGTCCTCTCATTGAAGGCAGTAAAACTTTTAGTTGTATACTAGAAGTTCATCTATTCTCGCAGCTTGGTAATTTCAACTAAATAAATGTTTGTTTGTAAAAGACTGCTTTATATTTCCATATTTATTGTGCTGAGAGAGCATGTCCCAAAGGACTAATAGTCTTGATTTATCTTATGATATGAAAATTTACACCGGCAATGCATGCAAGATATAATTGTTTTCTAACATTTCACAATGTTTTGCTTGTTTTGCGACCATCATATAAAAATGAATAGTGTCAGGTGCAGGTATATGGGATGCTTTTTCGACAATCCTATGCTACAAAATTTGTGGAAAATACCGAAAATATAACGAATTTTGAAAACATTGCAATCGACTATTTACTTTTAACGAACATCAACATGCTTACATGCATACATCGTCTCATTTGCAGTTATTATACATCTAGCCAATCACAATTAGAACTTTTACGTTCGTACATTTGCATAACTGAATATAACGTCGCTTATGGTCTTCGGTGCATGTTAACTATTGGCACTTCATGAAACATTTAGTGACATAAATGAGGATGATATTCCAATGTTATTAGAGGAAAAATTCCAGGAAATCGAGGTCCTTGTTACAGATTGGGAATTTGTGAGAGATGACTCAACTTTAAATGACTTACAGAGCAGTGTGCTTAGTGACTTGGAAACCTAAGTGGAAAACAGTTTGGCAGAGTCTGTAACTCACAAACATACATCGCTAGAAATCGCGGACATTTAAATCCCGATACATCCCTTAAGTCTATACTGGTTATTATCCCTTTCGATCCCCAGGCCTCCTTATTCTCATTTCAAAATGGCGTCCGCCGCACGAAGAGCTAATCCAGTTGATTATGTAAATTTGAACAATTTATCGTCGGAAGTTATGTATGAAAGCGGAAAGAAGCCAAAAGGAAAGTTTTTTCCAGTTGATAGACTTATTTCTCGAAAGCAAATTGATCATGTAAGTTTATTTATGCTAAATTTTATCCATTTCTAATTTGCATTTCATAATGTAGGTCTTCTACTGTTGTATAAATTCATTAAAATGTATGTTGACGGGCTAAAGATAGGCATACTTTTAAATCTATTTTAAAGACTTGGCATTATTTGGTAAAGTGGTCTGGATGGCCTTTGCCTGCATCAAGTTGGGAGCCCTACGATCATTTGAATCCAGCGCTTTTACGGTACGTACTGGTTTATTTAAATACGATACTGCCAAAAATGCATTTAGTTCTTCTCAGAAAGTACTTATACATAACATGCATCTACTCCAGAATTGCAATGCAAGTGGCAAAGAAAATTGCATCGTGTAACATAGCCTTAAAAAAAAGTTCTTTAAGCAACTATTTCTTATGTTGCTTACAAGGTGCACCTAATGTATTTTGATTTTATAAATCACAGAAAACTTTTAAAACACAAACAGCAATTATTTCAACATGGATGATCCAATGCTGTTTGCATGTAAAATTGTCAGCACAGACACAACTTTAATGTTTTTCGATAACAAGTTCTCTAATTTTGATGTTGTTTACCATTCAATAATACATGATTACACTGTACTAGTGCATTAATTCATGTAGCAAAATGCTTGCGTTCAGTAATGTATGTTGTCTTTTTCTCTTCATGCATTTTTAGGAGCTATGAAAATCCATCAAAGCCAGATCAAGGCAGAATTGAGCAAGCTAGTAGAAGTTTTTATGATGCCATAGCAAGGGCTCTTAAAGCGAAATCTGCTACTCCTGTAGATGCTCAGATTGACCTTGATTTACAAAGATGGCTTTGGAAAGGAAAGGGAGTTCAATCTGAACATCTTGGTTATAAATTGTATGAGAAACATGAGTTTTGCAATTTGAATCTACAGGAAACATGGTGGTATTACCTTGATAGCAATGGCGAGGGCAGAGCAATAAACTTTCCAATTAAAATAAAACCTCTATTATTGTGGTCACCAAAACGTTACATTGTTCAAAATGGAGAACTGATTCAAGCAAAGAGAATGCCCATTGAGAAAGCTAAAATTCATTTCTCAAGACGAGCATGTAGTGCCGAGACACTTTAAAATATAGTTGTACACTTGTACTTGTACTTAGGTGCATGCAGCACCCAAAATGGTGCTTTTTAAAAGTTCCTTCAATTTGTCAAGCTTTCGTAGTTTTGTTTTTATTTTCATTTCTTTTAGTTTTTCTTTCACTTCACATAAACTCATGCTGTCTACATCCTGTGGGGTTAATTGATCTTGATCGTTCTCGTCTTCTCTTGGATCTACACAAAGACGCGGTTTTTTTCTTCTCTGCTCAAATATTTCATTTGACCAATAGGTATTGTCTTGTTTCTTGTATTGGTGTGGGATTCGTTCAAAATTCTGAAGATTATCAATTCTTCGAAGCGCCAGTATTGCCTCTTTGCAAGCATCATGCCGGTTGCTTTTGTTATGATAAATTGCCCGAACCACATCATTAATCTTTTCAATTCCTTGCCCAGTAAATGATTTCAAAGATTTTTCATCTTTGATGAATCTGGGTACATGATAAAGCAATATGTGTATATATGGTGTTATTCTAGCCTTTTCATAGCCCATCACTTTTCCACCAAGAGACAGGAATAGCTCTACCCAGTTCTTGGCCTATGAAAAATCAATGAAAAAAAACACCTTCACCATTTACATGCACATATAAAATGTCTCAGTACAGTCACACACAACAGTTATTTTAGTACAATTAATATATTGTAAATGTAAGGTACCATAGTACCTGTACTATGCACAGGGTAAACCCTACTCATGTGAGTAACACAAGACAATGTATTACTTGCCTTCCCAAAAAATCCATCTATATCTGCCTCAGAAGGCTTCCATGATGATAGTATTCCATATAGTTCACGAAATTCCTAGGAAATGAATACAGTACATACATGTATATCAAGAAATAAGTTGTTGAGAAATATGTAATTTATGTACACACCTGCCATATTTCTGTAATTGTATCACAATGGTTTGGTTCGAGAATGTTTGGGAACTGTGCAGGCAGCTTTGCAAGAACTTTTTTCTTCTCATTGCCAACCATGCTTGTCCAGTCATGCATTCCACTGTCAGTCCCATCGGCGTTCTTCTTTTTCCATACACTAAAGCTTACACCACAGTTATTGATGGCTTCAACAACATTTTGTAGGTGTTTATTTTCCCTGTCTGATGGTGCTCTATTAAGGTTCTCTTCAACATCACGCTCAATTGCATCGTTTATTATGTTACGTTCTAAAATATCTGAAAAAGGAAAAGGAGTCATTACTGCCATGAAGAGTCAGCCCAAGGACATTCTCAATGTATTGTTGCCAGTTACAGTAACATGTGCAGTATGTTGTAGAATTCATTATCTGTCTGTGAGTTAGGAACAAAGAAGTCTACATTATGTTATGAGCCTGCGTTCCTTTTGGGCTGTTCCAGGAACGTCACCAGTTAATATCCACATACCAATTTACAATTGAATAGTGCCGTACCAGTTATCCTGAGAAGCAAATGAAGTTCGTCGATTCTGACATTCTGAATTGGGATACTGAGCAATGGCTTTCTGATGCAACCATAGTTCGATGAGGACTTGCAGGCCATGGTTCTGTTGCTACTAAGTGTTCTTGTATTCTTACTATTATGGTAGTAATCCTCTACTTTTGATGTATCCCACCTGCATCAGCAAAGATGCTTTCAACCCATTAGTAAATAATAAATAACAAAGTAGATTGCATCAGAGTGCATTGAATCTATGTTTCAATGCATATACAGATAAAGATTTATAAAATTTGCAAATACTGGTACGGTATGGTAATTTAAAATTAAGATACATGTATTGAACTAAATTTTGCTTGTACCTTTCATTTTTGTGGACCAAGCAGTAAATGCATGCATAATCAGATATTGCGTTGTTCATTCCAAGAACCAGAAGAAGAAACTTGGAGATATAGAAGAATGCATTATTTTTGTATGATATGTAGTTCATCCCAGAAAGGGTACAACTGCCAGTTCATGTACCGTAATAGACCTTATGCAGAATGACGTCACAAGGCGTTATGCCTGCTGAAAATTCTAGACTTAGTGTCATTCATAGTTTTGAATGTTTGATGTTTCCTGCTGTGTTGACTACTAAAACCAGAATTCCGTGCAGGCATCACAGCTTGTGACATCATTATGCACAAGGTCTATTATTGATTTTGAAGTTAGGGTGAAAGCATGTTACTGAACCCTTATAATCACCAGACAGATAAAATTCCAGAGGTATTTGATGGCCATCCACCTCAATTTCACCATGCTCAACCAGATCATTGATTTCAGCAAAGATTTCTCTGCAAGAAACTTTTAGTACGTCGTAATCCTCACTTCCGGAAACTATTCCCACAGTATGGTTGCCTGTATGATGTGTACAATCAGGAATTACTGTACTGTAGGTTTTGAGACAAGAAAGAACTAATTCAAGATCTAAGGCCAATTATTCCAGTATATCTGTGTCTCAGATATTATTAACTGGACTGTTTTTATGCTTTTCAAAAACTTGATAGTTTTTATGGATGGCATGGTCTTATCAAGAGCATTCTCTTACCTTTCCAAGACATTACTTTTTCTTCATCAGAAAGGAGAGCAAATGACAGCACAATAAAATTAGCTATGCGGGACATTTTTGCACCATCACCTGCAATCCTGATCTTTTGCTTTCCAACATCTCCAAGCTGTATCTACAAAGTTGATAAAAATAGTACATATATTTATCATTACAATCTATAAAATAACTAAATTTAGGCCTCACCAAAGCAAGTGCACATGTTTTCTGGCAAGAAATGGTGGTAGGAAATATTACCTTCTTTCTAATTTGTTCCCTTAGTTCTTCTTTAAAACTCATCTGAGCCCCTGGGTGTTTTCCTGGTGTGCGAGTGATATGACTGATTGAATTTAGTGTGTTTCTACACTGCTTAATTAAATAGCTCCTTGGGAGACCATCAACCAGCATTGACATTTCATGATAAGCTGTATCGCCCACACAACACTTATCCATAATATATAGTAGAGCTCTAATAGTTGTCTTATCATTCTCTGGTAACTGTTGAAAATTAGTCTTACTACTGCAACCATTCTCACAATAGTTCATTTCTGTTACTTTGCCATCCAGATCTTCAATCTTGATAGAGTCCAATTTAAACCCAAACGATTCCATGAACCAAAGTGCTTGCTCACTTCTCGACTTCAGCTCCTTTACTTTTCTTCTCTTTTGTCGTTCCCCAACTTTGCCAACTGGTTTCCCTGTGTTCTCCAGATTTGAACTACAGCTACTACACACAGTTGTTTCTTCAATAAAGTCCAGGTATTCTTTTAGCTCTTGGTTCTCCAGTAAGGCATGATCTCTCTCCATTTCAACAGTTTTTGTCTTGTCTTTCTCCTTTAAAAGATCTTGCAAAAGTTCATCACATCTGCTGTCGACATCCTGGAGTTGTTGTCGAAGATTGTTGTTTTCTTCTTCCAACTTTTCAAAGTCTTTCTGAAGACTGCTGACATTCAGTAACTCATCAAAAAAAACATGAAATGATTTTGTCTTCTCAAGAAAGTTTTTCCTGGTCAGGCCTCTTAGTCCTCTACTTTTGGTGTATGCTTGACATGCCATAACCCTTATACTTTCGTCAATTCTGCTCACACCAGGTTTGATTTTAATCGGTAATTTGGACGCACTCAGAGCCAGTAACTCTTGGTAGGAGATGTCTGGAAATTTGATTTTTAATTCCCGCCATTTTAACAAAACTTTTATCGAAATTTTTAGAACAACACATTTCCCTGACCTTTGATATCCAACGTAGCGTAAGCAAGAATAATCCTCACTAAGCTGTATTTCATATTTAAGTTTTAGTTGCTCCTGCCAAGTAAGGTTGTCTGACATTGTCTTTTTATATATAGTACAGCAAAATACAGTAGAACAAGTAAATAAATAGCAATACTCGCAATAATCGCATATTCTACTTTTTGACAAATGTGTTCGGCTCAGTGCACGGAGCAATATCAGTGGTATATAAACAAAGTTTCCTAAACGGGGAGTTACCGCTGACTAAAAGGATTGCCAGATGTAAACAAAGTACAAGAAAAGAGCTATCAAATGATATATTTTGAGCAATTTTTTGTGTGAAAAGTCATTGTCAAAGTGCAAGATTAGTATATGATGATTGTATCAAATAAATGTACCTTCGATTTTATGCAAACTACTTGGAATTAAACAAATAATCATTGCCGCCACAGATTAAGGTATGCGAACAATTGTTTTGGCTACTAATATGTGTATATTTTTTATATTTCACCCCACATTTTTAACTTCATCGATCATTAGACCGTGGCATAACTTTGTAAAAGGTGGATTTTTGCCATTTCGGAAAATTAGTTACAAATCCTGCCTGTACAGTTATTCCGTTGTTGCCCAGTTTTACGTATAGTAAATAATCATGACATTTTATGATTGGTTTTAATTATTTTTCTTATTTGCTTGATTAGTTCACGGAATTTTGTTTCAGCAGTGCACAATTTTAATTTGTTATGATTCTTCACCGATATTTGATGTAAAATTTGTATAACCATCTACATTCCTTATTAAATTTGAATGCATGAGTGGACAGGGGGACTGGGCCGAAAATGCACTCTGTATTCAAAATGTCCGCGATTTCTAGCGATGACCTGAGCGAGATATTGGCCAGTACTGCCAAGATATGTACAGCAGAGAATATGCATCACAGACTAAATAGCATATTTGTAATTACAAAATTGTTAATATAAAAGTATTGTAATATACGATTTTTGGTATGTGTACTATTTGGGTGATTCAAAGAAGAAATGTTTTTCTCACTGTCAAAGTGTTATGATGTCATTAGGTGAATTGTAAATTAGTTCATCAAGTTCATCAAGATCAGGTTTTTTTCTATAAAGATACTGTGTATTACATTTCTTCTCAGAATGACCCAAATATAACGCATACCAAAAATTATATTTAGGGTTAGTCGCACTTTAAAATAATGATTTCCGGTTACAAAAGGTGGTCATTTGACACCGCAAAAATTGGTATTCATTATATTTCAAACTTCAAATATCTTATGAGTGGTTCATTTTGCATCCCTGCAACTAGTATCAAAGAAAATACTAAAATAAGTTGAAAACAGGTTTAATTAATTCCTTACGAATGTAGATTTTGGAATCTTTTCAAGGCTCTTCACACACATCTGCCAACTGTAAAATGGCTATTTGAGGCTACCGGTCCTAAATTCGTCTGGCAGCATGTAAATGAGGTCTAAGTCTATATGCATGTAAACCAATTTCCGCGGTGTCTGCTCATTCACAACCTAATTTGTCTTCGCCCCTGCCCTCAGCATTTTGCAAAGTAACCACCACTGAAAATCCACGTGTGACATTGTCCTATTTATTGTTTACGGGAAAATGGATCAACAAGAGCACCTGTTCAAATAAAAATTCTTTTTGTGTTCGTTAATCCATTTAAACATTTCAGACACACTGAAATCTTCTAATAAGCTGGCCTTGATCTCTGTTTTGTATGTCATGCCATTGGTAAATTCAAATGCTTTGTTGTCAACCAAATTCTGCACGACTTTGACAAGATCATTTCTTCTTGACTGTTGAACATGATGCCCAGACCTCCTCACAATATTGCACATCTCGTCAAAATTGTCAAGAAGTTTCTTCTTTGTTGTAAGAACCTTACAGTGGTGGTTTAGAGCTTTACCACTTAATCCATTGGCACCAAGTTTCTTCAACAAGTCTTGATAGATAATGCGGTTGACATGCCCCAATGCCAGATCGAGGGGGATGTTCCCCCCAGAACCAAACTTAGATTTTAAAAATCTATTCCATGTCAACCTGTGTGCTGCCCCGCGGGCTTAGTAGTGCGTTGACTTGGCATTGCAAGTAGAGAGCCTCCAATGCATACTTTCTACTTCTAGAACCATCATGCCTCAAGTACTGCAGCATGAACTTCCAGCATCGTATGACCCTTGCAACATCGCCATCTGATACTGCATCAAAAAAGTTTTAACTAGAAGACCAATTTCTAAAAAACTTGATTGGTAATTAAACATGTCGTCTCGTTTCAGTATTTTCTTGCCAGTGTTTGTATACTTTACCACTGGGACGGGTGGTAAACCATGGGAGGCTTCATGTTCTCTCTTTCTCTTACCATCACACTTGTATGTCTTGTCACACCCGGGAAATCTGCACTTGAATCTGGTATCTGCATCTCTGTTTTTCCTCTCCTTATCTTCAGTTTCACCCATGTGCACTTTCTCTAGAATGGAAGCAACTTTCTCTGAACCAAGGATGTACTTGCTAACAACTCGTTCAGCAAGGGATTTTAAAAACCATAATTTCTCATCTTTGGACGCCAACTTTAAATTGGAAGGAATAACCTCGGATGTAGGTTGTGCATTGATATCATCCATACCTAGTTCGTTCATACAGGCAGCGGCTATCCTTGCATCAATTTCCAGCAGAACAAATTTTTTGGTGGCACTGACATTCTTACTAACATCTGTTGAGATGTTTCTTCGATTAATAAAATTCCGATCACAAAACAATGTGCATTGATCATTAGGCGCACTTGTATTGTAAAAATGATTGAATATCACCTAAAATGGGATGTATAAATGTATCTAATCTGAAGTAAAATCTAGTGTAACATGCACATTAGAGGTTAAGATACCCCGGTTTTGGTCTACGGGTATGGGTAGCCGATAATTTATTCAATGACTTTCTCTGTTTTCATGATGTTTAATCAATTTTTGTTTGTCTCAAAAGGCTATGATGGACTGTATCATTTGAATGTCAAAGTAGAGAAGGAAAAATGCACAAACATATCAATGGCAATTCGAAGAAAAAAATAACGCTACCCGTACCCGTAGAACGGAACCGGGGTATCTTACTGTAACCTCTATTATTAGGGGTTTATCACAAGGTGTCGTTAATGAGTGCCGTAAACAATTCAATAAGCGCCACTCTATAGCCGTGTTTACACTACAAGCCTGAGCCTGGCCTAGGCCTGGCTTTGGCCTAGATCTTCCTAGTGTAAACACACTTTGGCCTGGCCTAAGCCTGGCCTAGGCCAGGAAATCTAGGCCCATCATAACAGGTGGCCTAGGCCAGGCCCAAGCTTGGCTTTTTGGCGGGAAAAGCAAATAAACATGGAATTTGAATTTGAACTGGACAGATGAGGAAACTGAAGCTTTGCTAAACCCTGGGGTGAAGAAAATGTCTAGAAGAATTGGACAACTACAGTATTCGTAACAATGTGATTTATGGTAAACTTTCAGCGGCCTTGTCGGACTAGGGGATTTTACGTACTGCTAAACAATGCAACCACAAACTAAAACATCTTTGCGAAAAATACAGAGAATATAAAGAATGTAAAGTTTACACAAAGTAAAAAAACTTGTGATATGGAAACCGCTGAAATTCTAGGCCAAAGTCAGGCTGTCGAAGCGTAAGTGTAAACGCTTCGTTCTAAAAAGATTTAGGCCAAAGCCAGGCCTAGGCCAGGCTCAGGCTTGTAGTGTAAACACGGCTTATGTAGAATAAACGAAGAATGAAAGTGCCGCTTATTTGATCTTTTACAGTATTGAGAATCAAGAATCCTACCGTTGCAAGTTATTATTTCTGCATGACGAGTGACTAATAAACATATGTTTAGTGATATTGAAAAATCTGGCTAATCCCATAGCGGCCATATAATTAACGATTGGTCAGACGAATTAAAAAAGTTTGGCAATTTCACACCATAAATTGAAATGGTGCAGCATAATGGGTTAACAAGACAACAGACCAAGTCAAAAACAACCATCTTGCTTTTTTGCATTCCTTATCTTGCAAAAGATTGTGTACTAATTATATAAAATACCTCTAGGAACTTCATTCCTCCATGGAAATCAGCTATTTCAAAATGAATTCCTTCATTGCGTTCCTCGGGAGTGAATCCATTTGAGACTTCCATTAAGCTATTCACACCACGTTCTACAGTAAGTTGATCCCCAACCATTGCTTGTTCTCCACAGGTATCTTTCTCTCCATCAAAATATGATGGGACAAACTGTTGTAGGTGTTTGAGAATTTTACGGAACCCATCAGCTTCATTCTCATTTTCATAGAGGATGCCCAGAAATTTCTTAAAAATATCAATAAAAGTAACTATCTTACTAAAAACAAACGTACAGTATGTGCACAGGAAATTTGTGTGATCTGATTTGATCCAAAATCGTGCGATCCGAAAGTATTTACACCTGTAAGTGCCCATGTGGTGCAGTGTATTGTCCAAAATTTCATTTGATTATAAAAAGGCAATAAAAGTCCTCTTGTTCAAAAACATCCTAAGTTGAAGATAAATTTCAACCATAGTATGACTATGAGATCCAGAAGTCAGTCTCATTTTAAATTATCGTGATTGTACTCAGCCAGATCAACAGCAGGGAGGGGGCACTGCACTATCAATTTCTTTTGAAATCAATTGTTTTTATGGTTTGTGAACACAAATATACGAATACCCCCCCCCCCATTATTGAGCTGGCTAAGTCACTGATTGTACTCATTACAGGGTGTCTAAAAAACATTGAATTCGCCTATTGTTCGAATTCTCCTCTTGATGAGTAATATCATTTGGCAGTGGAATAAAACAATACAACAGGGTGCATGGCCAAGTCCTTTTGAAGAGTAACAATACAATTTGTCTACCACTTACTGTTTCTGTTTTTTGTTTCATGTTTATTGATGTGGTATGTGGGAGATTACAACCTCTCTTAGGAAATGCAAGCAAGGCAATTCCTGGGTAATGACTCTTGACACAAGTTGAATGTAGTTGTCATGTTACAGTTTATGCTCCCATTGACTTGGACAGCATTTGCCATTCTCCATTTCCATGAAAGCACATATTGGTTTATCATCAGGCAAATGATTGCCACTAACTCGATTCTCTGTTGCCATTAAGCTACAGAAGTGTGCATCTGGGTTTTGATGTTGTTCGGTCATATTATGGGTGAGCTGATGAACATCTACATTATCCAAGACCAACTTTCTACCACTGTCAGGTGGTATAGTTACGTCCTTGGCTGCCTTGGCTACAGTTGTTAAAGTGCAGTTCATAGGCTTAGTTGACCCTACATCATCAGAATCGACAGTGTTTGTAATTGAGCCTGCATCATCAATCGACAGTGTTTGCAGGTTTTCAATGTGGAAATACTAGAAGCGTTTTTTGCATAGATGGTGGTTCTGCATCTAGGTTATGATGATTCCTAACTATCTGTGCAAGTGAAGCAAGAATTTTCTTTCCCTCATTGGCAGGATCTTTTTTCTCTTTATCAGTATCACTTGCACTATTAACCACACTTTCCGGGATTGAACCATGGTCATTTGTTGCTTTCTTTTCCACATGCTCGGGTTTATTCTTTCGTTTCGCTTCTTCTGATACTTTACCTAAAATCTGCTTGTCATAATGCAAACTAAGCTCGTCCATTT